CTTTTTGCAATATACCTTTTTCACGTACAAACAAATCAATATATACGTAAACCTTTGAAAATATGAGGCACACATAATTTTTTTTCATGAAATCCATTTTAGGGTATCTAGTAATTATTAATGAAGTATATTAAAAATAATAATAAGCTATAAAAGATTCATCTATGTGGTATATGAGGAGCGAGAGTACGTACTCCCAGGAGTACACAACCATTTTCATATATATATATATATATATATATATATATATATATATATATATATATAAACATAAAATAGCTCTCTTTACGTATAGGACCCACCTCTCAGTGAAGGAGAGGAAGGAAACATTAAATAGTGTGGTACAGGATTCGAACACGAGGCCTCGTGACACTTGGATCAAAGGCTCACGCGGATAAGGGCATCTTCGACCCTCAAACCGTCTACAACGTCTGAACCACGGAATTCATTCAATGAGGACCTGTATCGGCCTGAAGGCAATCTAGACACACTTTTCTCTCGCAAACCAAAAACAAACATGGGGGGCATTACGGGGCGTCCAGACCGTTGACATGCCCGCGTCTGATCGCCCTGGCCCACCCACCCCTCCCGCGCTTTCCATCCCATGTGCCGCGCCGCATTCATGCCAGCCCAGAGCATGCAGCGGCGTGCATTGATGCCCGCGATTTGACTGGACGTGGGGCCGGTGCAGACGGACGCGACCTCTCACTGCCGGCATTGAGAGTGGCGCATCAGCCGAGGCTCCAGCCACACTTCCGTTCACGAGCCGCCCATCATTAAACACAATGCCGGTTGGCTCCAGCAGCGCCCCCCACTATTTAAATGATGCCAGACGCTGGGCAAAAATCGCACCACAATCCGCTCTCATCTCCTCCTTGCACACCATCTTCTCCACAAGCTCCATGGCATCCGATGAGCAGGAAGCCAAGTTCTCTGGCATACAAGCTGGCTAGGTGGCCCGTTGAGCCCGCCGGATACGAGCCATGCAACTCTCTGCTCCGCCTCCATTGACGGTATAGGCGGCGGGGGCCAGCTTGTGGAGGTAGAAGCTCCAAGCCGGCGCGTCGTTGAACAACTCGCTGCTCCAACCTAGTTCATCGAGGAGTGGCTTGTTGCTTCAGGCCAGCATGTTGTGGACCACAGCGGCAAGGCCATCGTGGCTGCTGTGGACAACACCGTGTCGCACTGCCCCTTCGGTGCCTGGGACCGCGCCGTCCGCTGTCAATGTGTCCGTGACCGCACCCTGCCGGCGGAGGTCGGCGACACGGCGTCCAACACGTCCGCGTTCTGCCACATCATCAAGGAGAAGTAGAACACGGGAGGCCGCTGCTGCTTGGGTCCCATGAAGGCCACCGTTGAGGCGACACCATTGTACACAGCCGGTGTCTTGCCTGGTCGCAGGCCACCGTCTTCCCCTTCCTCTCTGGCTGAAGCACACCGCGGGGGTTCCGCTCCGATGACTGCAGTTGCCGAACATGAGGAAACGAGCACCCTTTGCACTGAAGCATATACCTCCCGGGCTCACGGCATTCCAACTGCCGAACATGGGGAAGACAAAGAGATCCGCCGTGGCCAGCCATAGTAGTGTAGTGTGTCCGTGTCGTGGGAATGGAGCTCCGCACGGCCGGACGTGCACATAGTTTTACCTATTTTAGTTAACATATGTCCAAAATGTAATGAATATTGCCCGGTTTATGAAATCTGTTATGTTTGCATGAAATTCTTCCGGTTTGTTGAAAAGGCGTTTGAAATGTATGCGGATAGCGTTGTATGGCGGCCTCCCGCATCCGTGTCCACGGACTGGTCCTCCTATTTGTGGACATATGCGAGAGGGAATTTACGGGCCACAGTTAGAGATGCCCTAAGGTCATTGATACGTCCATTTTGCATCATGCTTTTATATTGATATTTATTGCATTATGAGATGTTATTACACATTATGTCACAATACTTATGTCTATTCTATCTTATTTTACAAGGCTTGCATGAAGAGGGAGAATGCCGGCAGCTGAAATTCTGGGCTAGAAAAGGAGCAAATATTGGAGACCTATTCTGCACAACTCCAAAAGTCCTGAAACTTCACGGGAGCACGCTTTAGAATATATATAAAATATTGGAAGAAGGAAGTACCAGAGGGGGCCCACCTACCATCCACGAGGGTGGGGCGCGCCCTACCCCCTGGGCGCGCCCCCTGCCTCATGGGCCCCCTAGCAGGCCTCAAGTGCCCATCTTCTGATATATGAAGTCTTTTACCCTGGAAAAAAAATCATAAGCAAGCTTATGGGACGAAACTCCGCCGCCATGAGGCGGAACCTTGGCAGAACCAATCTAGGGCTCCGGCGGAGCTGTTCTGCCGGGGAAACATCCCTCCGGGAGGGGGAAATCATCACCACCGTCATCATCATCGATCCTCTCATCGGGAGGGGGTCAATCTCCATTAACATCTTCACCAGCACCATCTCATCTCAAACCCTAGTTCATCTTTTGTATCCAATCTTTGTCCCAAAACCTCAGAATGGTACCTGTGGGTTGCTAGTAGTGTTGATTACTCCTTGTAGTTGATGCTAGTTGG